CTGTGGACTCATGTTGTACTTGGCTTACTTTACTTAGCATCATTTCCTCCAACCCTTCCCATGCAATGATGTGCTTCATGCATTCATCACTGCTAAAGGGCTGCATAGTCCATTCTTCCAGATTTTGGAAATTTAGGCTGTTTCCAATTCTTTGCAATTGTAAACTGTGCTGCAGTCAACAATGGAGTACAGATGTGTGGCCATGGTCTGTTTCTCACTTCTTCTGGGTATATGCCCAGTTAACGGGGGTGAGTCCCTTTTTTCAGGGATCTGTATCTCAGGACCCTCTAACCTAATAACACTTATACCCTTTAGTCCTCAGCATTGGTGTGCAAGGGGCACGCCTTCTACAAGACCCCATTGCTCTTCCTGCAGTCAAGGATGGAGCAGTCTTGTTCCCCACCCCCACACCATTGCACCTTTAGACTTTCAGTGTGGCCCCCTTAGGAGTATCCCCCAACCAGTTCAGATGAGGTGCTAAGAGCTGCCCCCCGAGTCAGAAGCCTACAATCAAGATTCCTCAGGGCCTTCGTGGTTTTGCTCTCATTGCTGGTCTGTTGCGCTCCCCTCTTGGTTTGCCCCCATGTGGGCCCGTCAGTCCAGCCGTACTCTGCCCAAACTGTATCTTCAGGGCTGTCTTTTGTAGCGTTGTCATCTAGGGAGGGGACGTCACGTCTCAGGCTGGGGTCGGCCCTGCAGTCTCTCTGTGAACAAGCTGCTTCGAGCAGGAATGTCGCCCTCAAGGTTTGGTGCTTTGGAATGAGGTCTACTCTCTCCCTCTTTCCTGTGGAGCCATTTTACGCTGGCGTGAGTCTGTTTAAATGATGTAGTGAGGAGGGGTCATTTTCTGGAAGACTCTTTCACCTCGGCCAAATGACAGCAGCAGCAGTAGCACACGGAAACCAGTGCCATGCAGTCTGATTCCAGTGCCCTGTGGCAGAGTAGTAGGCTGTGCTTCAGGGGGTTTTCAATGGCTGTTTGGGGGAAATAGTTCTCCAGACCTTTCTTCTGAGGTGCCTCTGAGTGGAGTTGAACCTCCAACCTTGTGGTTAGCAGCTGACCATGGTAACTATTTGTGCCACACAGGGACTCCTGCCCCACCCACACGGTGTACATTTTTTCTTTCACCATCTCAGTCCTGTGGCTAGGACTGTCCCTGACAACGCCACCCAAGCTCTGTGCCCCCGTTCACTAGAATGCCAGCAGTAGCCGGCCTCCTTTGTGAGGGGCAGCTTTATGTTCACCTATTCTTAGCTTAGACACTGTCAGTAGTCTCCCAGGAAAGTCAGCAAAGCCTCACGCCACTTTTGCGTGGCATCTCCAAATTGGCATGGCAAACTTTTGTAGACATACCTGCTGTTTTCCAACAGCCCTTTTGTACTCAGTGCATCAGTTGAGCCAGCCTGCTCTGCTCTCCCTGAATATCCTGCCTTCCTTTCATCCCCTCCTCCTGGCCTTTGTTTCGTTCTGTCCCTAGCCTACAAAGCCCTTTGTACAACTTGACCTCCAGAAATCATTGGATTTCCTCAAGTCTCATTTCAAATGTTACGTGTTCCCTGTGGCACTCCCACTGGCCACCCTGGAGCTGGGATGCTCCACTCTGTGCCCTGCCCACATGCCATGGTGGTCACGTAGGGCCCCCGGAGTCTTGCACAAGGCCCACGGGGCTATTATAACTCCACCCTTCTCTTCTTCATTCACAGGAGAGACTAGAAAGCAAACCCACTCTCTTTGATATTTCTAACATATGCACCTTCCTCACTGGGATCCCTGGAGGCTCTCATTGTGGTTAAATCTTGGGTTGCTAAGCACAAAGTTACTGGTTCAAATTACCAGCTGCTCTTCAGACAAGGTGGTCTGCTGCTGTAAAAATTTATCATCTTGGAAACCTTACTAAGGAGTTCTGCTATGACCAAGAGGATCTCTATGAATCTATATGACAGTGGGCCTAGTACAATTACAAGTAACAAATCACTTTTTTAAAGTTTTGCTCTATTGTGGGATATATACATATGTTATTTGCCAATTTAATTTTTACACATACAATTCAACGACCCAGGTTATTTCCAGCAGATTGTGTACTATCACTATAATCCATTTCCATATTATCCCACCAAATTAGCAGAAGCTTAGTGCCCCATAAGCTAAGCCCCCCAACCCCTTTCTGCCAGCCTTGGTAACCACGTGCATATGCCTGCATCTGTCCTTTCATGAGCGACTTCTTTCACTCCTGAGACAGTATACGGAGTTATGAATTGGGCTGTTAACCACAAGTTCAGCAGTTCAACCCTCCCCAGACACTCTGCAGGAG